CTGGCAAGATATGGATGTCCTGGAATCTGTCAGTAAGTCACTGGGCCCATTGCTGGACTTCACAGATGCACTCTCAGGAGAAGACTATGTTAGTGTCTCATATGTGAAGCCAGTTCTTCACCTCTTCAACACTTCAATGCTGCTAATACAAGAGGGAGATAGACTTGACCAAGACCTTGAAAACGGAGATGTTACTACTCAGGAGCTGCTAGATGCGGCTTCTTGTTTGGACCCCCGGTTCAAGATGGACTTCATCAGTGAAGACAACAAGCCCCAAGTCAAGGCCAGAGTGGCATCAGAAATGATGGAAAGCCAGGAGGAGACGTCAAGCAGCAGCACTGAAGTGGAGCCTGAAGTTGCTGATACGTCCCAGGCAAAGAAAGCCAAGAAGTCCTTTGGAAGTTTCTTTAAACTGAGCGGAGCTGCAGCAAAGGGTGATTCCTTTCTGACCCACAAGGATGCTGTGGAAGCAGAATTAAACAACTACCTGCTAACACCTTCCTTAGACAAAGAGGAAGATCCACTTGCATGGTGGAAAACACATAGAGTAAGCTTTACACATCTCGCCAAGCTTGCCCGCTAGTATCTATCCATTCCCGCTATAAGGTCACCCTCGGAGAGGCTTTTCAGTACAAGTGGCAACATTGTCACTTGCCAACGGTCATGTCTCAAGCCTGTAATGTTGAATAGACTGGTATTCTTGGCCAAAAACCTTCAAGTTTGAGTGAGCAATGTATACATGCTTAAAGTCAAGTTATTATATTTGAATAGAATTTAGATTTACTATATTATTCTACAGTTGTGAGAAATACATTTATTTATTTTCCTAGGTACTCTGTTTAGAAAGAAACCAGATTTTATACAGTTGAAAAGTTTAATTTAATCAGCATTTGTCTAGCCATGATGATCAACACTGTTTTCCTTTGGCACTGTTGCTAAGAAAAGTTTATTTTAAAAACAGAAGTTTGTGAAATACAATGGTTCTGTGTTATTTGTTATTCATGTTAAGTTCATTGGTATTTATTAGTTAGGTTTTGCTTTTATTATTACAAATTATTTGTTTTGTAAACCACTCAGGAGTATAGCTGCTCTTTCATTTTTCAAATGGTTTAAATTAAGAGATGTTTCTATTTTCAAAAAGGAGGTTTGTAATTTAATTTGTAATGCAATAACATGTTTAAATTACTTTTTGATTGGATTTTGTCATTCACATTAATTCCCTATTGTGATAATGAAACTTCCTCTGTATAGAATACTCTGTTAGGAGTACTGAGATACAGCCTCCTGTAATCTCCTGGATCCCTTATATACACCACACCTCTTCATTCACAAATGAGACCCTTTATTTTAGGGTAAGCAACATGCATTATTAATATCATAACATGTTAGATCATTGACTTTAGTCTGAATTGATAGAGTATTACATGAATACAATAGAACCATGGTGAATTAAACAGTGTTAATTAATATAATAAATTAAACTAGTCAAAAGGTAAAAAGTCATTTTCAGTTTTCCATGAAGATGCAGTTCCCTACAAAATCACCCCAATCATTCTAGAATAATTAATTATTCTCAAATAGAGCTTTTCAAGTCATCTGGTGAAGACATCCTGTATTTTTTCATATCGCAATATATATCACAGGTAGCTTACATTTGTCATTTAGCAGACGCTCTTATCCAGAGCGACTTACAGTTAAGTGAGTGCATACATTATTAATTTTTCATACTGGCCCCCCGTGGGTATTGAACGCCATGCTCTACCAACTGAGCTACATCCCTGCCGGCCATTCCCTCCCCTACGCTGGGCCAATTGTGCGCCACACCATAGGTCTCCCGGTCGCGGCCGGCTACGACAGAGCCTGGATTCGAACCAGGATCTCTAGTGGCACAGCTAGTACTGCGATGCAGTGCCTTAGACCACTGCGCCACTCGGGAGGTAAGGAGCTTAGTGGTTAAGAGCGTTGTGCCAGTAACCGAAAGGTCGCTGGTTCTAATCTCCGAGCCGACTAGGTGAAAAATCTGTCTGTGTCCTTGAGCAAGGCACTTAACCCTAATTGCTCATGTAAGTCGCTCTGGATAAGAGCGTCTGCTAAATGACAAATAAAAATAAAAACGCAATGTCAGTCATTTCCAATATCGTGCAACCCTAATCCTAGGCATTATCAACTGCTTGTCAAATTGTGAATGAGTGACTGATGTAGTGTGTACAGCCTGCGCAAAAAAACAAAGCAGGGCTCATGCCTTTCAAGCTACTTTTTTGAAATCGTCATTATTCGCATCATGCAGCCTAACAATGTATTAAAAATCAAAACATATAGCCCAAAGTTTGTAGAACAACTGAAGTTACATTAACTCTAAGCATATAGGAATACATATTTATTTGTTAACCGCTCAACACAGAATAGCTGCATGTGCGCACTCCCTCAAATCGTTTGGGGAAAATATCCTTTCTATTTTATTCAGTTTTGTTCAATTGTATTCTTCATACTATAAAATAATGCCATGCGGATGTTACATTTCAAGAACCATCCCCCCACATGCCTGTAGAAGGGGTACTGCGTGTAATGTTCGTTACTGTTTTCCGACCTGGTAGGACACATTTTGCAGAGTTGTTGCGTATGCTAGTTTGCAACATTGCAGAAAATGGAAGAAAACTGAATTCTGTTTTGCCCGAATTGTACTCAATACACACAATTTAGTCGAAGGCATTACAACTCCTGTGCCTGAACACTACTGAAAAAACAGACGTTAAGACGTGTCTACCTACAGGCTATGGTAAAAGTTAAGTATATCAAGTGTGACCGACAGTCTGCAATTAAAAGTAAAGTGGAGAAACCGATGGTAACTGTAGTTTTTCCTCTGATGTCAATAATCGTGGAACACGGTTCGTGTCTTGATGGGGTTTTAATCAGTGATATCACGGCCATCCTCACGCACTGTTGCTCCTACGGCACTAATCTAGTGGGCACCTTTAGAGCTCACACAGCAAGGGATTTGATTGGTTTAATGTGTTGCGAGGTGTTAATGATTTACACCGGGTTTCCACCCCTTTGTAGCTACTTTCTGCCATTGACTTCAGGAGGCTTTCCGATTAGGGAAGCCTGGTTCAAGACGAGTCTACTATAACTGATATGTGGTTGTCGTACATACAGTGAGGGAAAAAAGTATTTGATCCCCTGCTGATTTTGTACGTTTGCCCACTGACAAAGAAATGATCAGTCTATAATTTTAATGGTAGGTTTATTTGAACAGTGAGAGACAGAATAACTACAAAGAAATCCAGAAAAACGCATGTCAAAAATGTTATAAATTGATTTGCATTTTAATGAGGGAAATAAGTATTTGACCCCCTCTCAATCAGAAAGATTTCTGGCTCCCAGGTGTCTTTTATACAGGTAACAAGCTGAGATTGGGAGCACACTCTTAAAGGGAGTGCTCCTAATCTCAGCTTGTTACCTGTATAAAAGACACCTGTCCACAGAAGCAATCAATCAATCAGATTCCAAACTCTCCACTATGGCCAAGACCAAAGAGCTCACCAAGGATGTCAGGGACAAGATTGTAGACCTACACAAGGCTGGAATAGGCTACAAGACCATCGCCAAGCAGCTTGGTGAGAAGGTGACAACAGTTGGTGCGATTATTCGCAAATGGAAGAAACAAAAAAGAACTGTAAATCTCCCTCGGCCTGGGGCTCTATGCAAGATCTCACCTCGTGGAGTTGCAATGATCAGGAGAACGGTGAGGAATTAGCCCAGAACTACACGGGAGGATCTTGTCAATAATCTCAAGGCAGCTACACACTACGCCGTGAAGGACTGAAATCCTGCAGCGCCCGCAAGGTCCCCCTGCTCAAGAAGCACATATACAGGCCCGTCTGAGGTTTGCCAATGAACATCTGAATGATTCAGAGGAGAACTGGGTGATGAGACCAAAATCGAACTCTTTAGCATCAACTCCACTCGCCGTGTTTGGAGGAGGAGGAATGCTGCCTATGACCCCAATAACACCATCCTCACCGTCAAACATGGAGGTGGAAACATTATGCTTTGGGGGTGTTTTTCTGCTAAGGGGACAGGACAACTTCACCGCATCAAAGGGACGATGGACAGGGCCATGTACCATCAAATCTTGGGACGATGGACAGGGCCATGTACCGTCAAATCTTGGGTGAGAACCTCCTTCCCTTTTTCTGCTAAGGGGACAGGACAACTTGACCGCATCAAAGGGACGATGGACAGGGCCATGTACCGTCAAATCTTGGGTGAGAACCTCCTTCCCTCAGCCAGGGCATTGAAAATGGGTCGTGGATGGGTATTCCAGCATGACAATGACCCAAAACACACAGCCAAGGCAAAAAAAGGAGTGGCACAAGAAGAAGCACATTAAGGTCTTTGAGTGGCCTAGCCAGTCTCCAGACCCTAATCCCATAGAAAATCTGTGGAGGGAGCTGAAGGTTCGAGTTGCCAAACGTCAGGCTCGAAACCTTAAAGACTTGGAGAAGATCTGCAAAGAGGAGTCGGACAAAATCCCTCCTGAGATGTGTGCAAACCTGGTAGCCAACTACAAGAAACGTCTGACCTCTGTGATTGCCAGCAAGGGTTTTGCCACCAAGTACTAAGTCATGTTTTGCAGAGGGGTCAAATACTTATTTCCCTCATTAAAATGCAAATCAATTTATAACATTTTTGACATGCGTTTTTCTTGATTTTTTTGTTGTTATTCTGTCTCTCACTGTTCAAATAAACCTACCATTAAAATTATAGACTGATCATGTCTTTGTCAGTGGGCAAACATACAAAATCAGCAGGGGATCAAATACTTTTTTCCCTCACTGTAACTACCTTAAGTAAAATGCACTAACTGTAAATTGCTCTGGATTAGAGTCTGCTAAATGACAAATGTTTAAAATGTAAATTATATACAACTCACGGTTCTCATATTGACAGAATATTTGCAGCAGTATGTAGCATTCATTACAGGTAGTATCCTGTTGGGTATGGTTTCATATTTGGGAGTATGACTATATCCTAAAATCCACCTTTGGCCTCGTCTTCTACAGGAACAGTTCCTGCAGGAGCGCATCAAGGTCAACGGTAAAGCTGGGAACCTGGGTGGTGGCGTGGTGTCCATTGAAAGGAGCAAGAGCAAAATCTCTGTGAATTCTGAGGTGCCATTCTCCAAAAGGTATGTTTGATTGAAATCTTGATTCAGCTTATGAATTGCCCTTGTAATGTGGTGAGCAACATCACTTGCTATTTTATGTTGTGTTGTCTGATGGTGGGACTTGGTTTGTGTCGGCAGGTAGCTTGGTGGTTAAGAGCGTTGTGCCAGTAACCGAAAGGTCGCTGGTTCTAATCCCCGAGCCGACTAGGTGAAAAATCTGTCGATGTGCCCTTGAGCAAGGCACTTAACCCGAATTGCTCCTGTAAGTCGCTCTGGATAAGAGCGTCTGCTAAATGACTAAAATGTAAATGTGTCCACAGTTATGCATATATTGCATTTTCACTTGTTCTATTAGGAAGGTGGATCTGTCCTTTGATCAAGGTCTCCAGCAGTGAACATGATTTTCATCAGTCTCAAAGTGACATTGTCGTTTCCAAGTCACCATGTACCCTCTTAGACATTCATGGACATTCACGGGCAGTAAATAATTGGAAATTAATCATTTGATTCAATGCAATCTCCCCCCCACTCAATGTTTATATTCAGCTTTTCTGTCTCCGGATATGCCATTTATATTTTAACTTTGTAGCATTTTAAAAAAGCTCCTGTATTTCCCGTGGGATCATGGCACTTGCTTTTTCTGAAATTCAATGTTTTTAATCAAATTTCCTCCTCCAGTGTGGGCCTAGTGCTTAATTGACTCATTATGAACCTTTATTTGTAAAGATTTGATGGTTCGATTGGAGGGCATGTTGGGAATAATGGGGCAGGGAAATCGCAACAAATGGGAAAATACAAATACAAAACACAGTTGAATATGGCACTTATTTTGAGCCTAAAATGAAGAAAATCGGCACAAAATTGTAGGGGCAAATCCCGTCGTAATTTTGTGGCTTAAGCCCACGTGAACGAATGTGCTTGCTCTCGAAATGGAATGCACAGGAGTCTCCCTGTGTGATTTCGGCTTTACGGTATTATAATATAGATGTTGCAGGGAAGCAATCCGGGCTCTTTTAAAACAAGCCTTTTTACACCATTACCCTCCACATCAATCCCTGGATGTATCCCTGATCCTTTTCTTCTGATATGGATAGGTTCAGTATTTTGAACAGATTCAGTTTGTTGATCTGCTTGGTGCTCAAGTTTACACAGTTGACTTCAGACGTGAATGCCATTTGTGACTAGCATTAGTGTATGGGGATGTGGTACGTCTAGGCTTTATGTAATGGGGGTCAGGGTTTAAATTATACATCGACTCTTGTAGATGCCCTAAGTGTCTTGGGGGTGCCGACGTCTATCTTTGACAGTTGTCGGGGGGGTCTCTCACAGAAAATTTTAATTCTTAGGCGGAATCCCTGATTTGTTATGGAGGTGCCAAGACCTGCTGTAAATGTTTACCCTGATGAGGGTGCAATTGTTAGTTTTTTTTTCCGTTGCAGATAAAGGGTTAAATATGGAGCTGATGATTCGATGTTCTGCATGTCATAATGTCTGTTATTCTATCTGAACGTTCTGCAATGTTGCACCCTCCAGAATAAACCCAAGGCCTAGCCTGATAAGTTCTCAAAATGTAAATGTAACAAATTTACAGTACATCTTTGTCACAGTGTAATTTTCAATGGGGTTTAAATTGATGACACTGCCCTTCTATCTGCCAGGTACTTGAAATATCTGACCAAGAAGTACCTGAAGAAGAACAACCTGAGGGACTGGCTGCGTGTGGTGGCCAATACCAAGGAGAGTTACGAACTGCGCTACTTCCAGATCAACCAGGATGAGGAAGAGGAGGAGGATGAAGATTAAATCCATGCCACTTTCTTTTGTCAATAAAATGTCTAAAGAACAAAAGCTTCTACCATGGCTTTATTTGCTGATTTGGGACTAAATCTGCATACTGTTTGAATCATTTGAACTACTCTTGCAATGAGCTGGTTAGACTTGAAAACCCATTCTTTATAATGTGAGGATATGTGTTCTGTGCTTACAAGTTTTAATGTCATGTGCACAAGTACAGTGAAATGCCTGTCTTGCAAACTCTAAACCCAGCAATGCAGTAATCGAACAATGTAATACTAAAAATGACAACGTAGAACAAAAAACACATGAGATAAAAGAACACCATAAAGTAAGCAAGCATACTATATACAGGGTCAGTCAGTTCTAGTACCATATTTACAATGTGCAAGGATACTGGAGTGATCGAGGTAGATATGGGTAAGGTGACTTGGCAACAGGATATAATAAACAGAGTAGCAGCAGCTTATGTGATTGGGTGTGTGTGTGTAGTTAGTATAAATATGTGCATATTAAGTGTGTGGTGGAGTGTGAGTGTGTAGGGCCCTTTTGAGTGCATAGAGACGGTGTAAAAATAAAATAGTCAGTGTAGACATGTTGTTCACTATTGAGCAGTCATGGCTTTGGGATAGAAGCTGTTAAGGAGCCTGTTGGTGTCAGACTTGATGCAATGGTACCGCTTGCTGTGCGGACGCGGAGAGCACAGTCTATGGCTTGGGTGGCTGGAGTCTAAAGATTTTCCAGGCCTTCATTTCACGCGCAGGGAGCTCGGCCCCAGTGACGTACTGGGCTCTCTGCACCACTCTCTGTAGCTCCAAACGATCGAGGGTGGTGCTATTGCCATACCAAGCAGTGATGCAGCCAGTCAAGATGCTCTCAATGGTACAGCTGTAGAACTTTCAGGATTTGAAGGTACATGCTAAACCTTTACAACCTGAGGGGGAAGATGCATGTCGTGTCTTCTTCACTACTGTGTGTGTGTGTGGACCGTTTGAAGTCCTTAGTGATTTGGACAACAAAGAACTTGAAGCTCTCTTTTATACAGGGTTCCTTATTTTCACTCTGTCAATTAGATATAGGTTGTTGATCCATCCTCAGTTTTCTTTCACAGCCATTAAACTCTGTAACTGTTTTAAAGTCACCATTGGCCTATTGTTGAAATCCCTGAGTGGGTTCCTTCCTCTTCGGCAACTGAGTTAGGAAGGAATCTGTATCTTTGTAGTGACTAGGTGTATTGATACACCATCCAAAGTGTAATTAACTTCACTATGCTCAAAGGGATATTCAATGTCTGCTTTTTTTGTGACCACCTTTGCGAGGCATTGTAAAACCTCCCTTGCCTTTGTGGTTGAATCTGTTTCAAATTCAGTTCTCGTCTGATGGACCTTAAAGATAATTGTATGTGTAAGGGTACAGAAATGAGGTAGTCATTAAAAAAGCATGTTAAACACTATTGCACACAGTGAGTTCATGCAATTTATATATATAAAACAAGTGATTTGTTAAGCACATTTTACTTAACTTATTTAGACTTGCCATAACAAAGGGGTTTAATACTTATTGACTCAAGACATTTCAGTTTTTCATTTTTTATTAATTTATAAACATTTTGAAAAACAATTCCACTTTGACATTATGGGGTATTGTGTGTAGGCCAGTGACCAAAACAATCTCAATTTAATCAATTAAAAATGTGGGCTGTAAGACAAAATGTGGAAAAAGTCAAGGGGTGTGGATACTTTCTGAAGGCACTGTAAATGCAACAAAAGTACTGATATTGTATATTTTAATAGCATTCACAGCTTTCCAAGAAATCAACAATTTAGACATTTATGGTCTGTGTACATATTTTAGAGCCTATTTATACAGAAAATGTGTATAATACCGGTATAAACTGTATTTATAATTATATGAGAATATTTTAGGTTGACAATTCTGTTACACATGCCTTTTACTTACTTATATTTTCCTGCATAAAAAAAAAAAAAATCAGGATTATGCCTCTGCCATTCATTACAATTAGACTGGTTTGGATTTCTCCCTGGCTGCCATTTTCACCCAATTCTGGAACTTTGAGGATTTATGACAGCCCCTCGAGTTATTTAATAGGATCTCTATGGTTGCAATTACTTTTCGAATCTGCTTTCAAATGCAGCGCTTCTAAAAAAGTAAAAAATAATCCCACGTTTCCTTTGTTTCATGTGGTCAATCACACTCCTCAGGAGTTGCCTGCTTCAGAGACTGAGTCTATCACAGACGTCATTCCCGAATCCCCCCCCCCCACCACCACCACTGCTGTGTATTCTGGGGGAACCCTCTCCCTGGCTCGGACAGTCTATGCGACTCCAGCAGAATCGCCACGCGGTAGTGAGCCTATGTTGCTGACCGGACCCTATTCATCACCGCCACCAGATCATCACCAGCCAGAGCTACATGGCGAGCTGTCGCCAGCGACAGAGGCCCTGCCTGCCTGTCCCTGCATTAGGGGACCCTCCAGTAGCACCGGTCCTGTCTGCTGCTACCGCCGATGACCGGTCCAGCCCTGACCTGGGCCCATGGGGGGACCCAGCCACACAACTGTCAGTACAGCTTCACCTGACCGAGCCACAACAGTTTCCCATGTGTGGAATGGTCCAAAGGACATCCAGCCAATTTGACACAACTGTGGGAAGCGTTGGAGTCAACTCAATATTAGGAAGGTGTTCTTAATGTTTGTACACTTAGTACAATACGAATTGTAATTGGTAACATATCATACGAAGTGGATGATGGACATCCACCAATTAATAAAACCAATACGAAACGTAACATGTCATACTAATTGGTATTTTCCGGATTTAAATGTACTATGTTACGTCTACCCCTGAGTTCAGGTTGCAACGTAACCTTGACAACTGTTCAAAGCAATCAACACAAGCACTGGCTGCAGCGCTTGCCATTTATTGTAGGTGAAAAGCAAGTTTGTTGAATGCATGCATGCCTTGGCTAAATCATTTCCAAAACAAAAGGAATAATATACTTAAAATTGCCAATTCAACCAAGTTTAGTGTAGGCTACAATAATTTCACGAACGAATGCCCTCTCCGTAACATTCACTGTTCAGCATGCGCTGCCGTCATTAATCAAGATACAATACAATGTAGCCGAAATGACTGCTGCATGCAACAAACCCACTTTTAATGTCTATGTTAACAAATATATTATCATTGCCCTTATGTCAGCGAGCTGTTTCCATCCTAGATTTTAAAGTTTAAAGACGAATTACCCCCATTGACTCAAGTTTAATAATGCCTATAGATAGATAGATTATTAACTTGGTTTTATGATTGTTGCCATTGTCATAATGGCCAACATTTAATTAAAATACGTAATATTGGCGGTTATTCAAACCAAGTTTGACTTAGATTGTTTTACTACTGGATACATTACACTGCATCAAAAGCATTTGAGACGAAATGCGAAGTGGGGGCTCACTAGGGGATTGAGTGAAGTTTTTTCCCCATATCCTGGAGTAACCTCCATTTCTAGAGTTGCTTCGGAAAACGGGCAAAGAGACGGGCGGGAAGAGCTGCACACAGTGACATTGCTACTTGCAGCACTGCTCACGACTAGTAAAAGTGGTAACTAGGGGAGCATGACTTAACTAGTTGTGGTGAAAATTATGGGATGGATTGTCATGGCAACAGACCAGACGTCACAATCTGGGCATGTGTGTTCCAGTTTTGTCTCTTTCTTATTTTCAGACTGGAGGACTTGGATAGAGAAGAGTGGAAAAGGAAATACATGTTTTCCAACAAAAACAGGGAAACCATCATTCTTGAAAATATACAGATATACATTTTATTTACACAAGACCCATATAATTCTTTTCGGAGAGGCAATAAGAGGTGAACAGTGGCGTTTTGAGGGTTAACTTTCAGTTAATTCTCAGGCAAGAGGATTTTTGGTATGCGATAAAGATGCCTGGGTCGTTAAGCAATGAAGACGAGGGACAAGAGGACATGGATTTTGAAGACGAAATACCAGGTGAGCGAGTGAAGTAAAGGGGGGGGAGTTTCTGCCAGTCAGATTTTTTGCGCTGCTACGCCTAGTTGAATGCGGGGAAAAGGCTTGTCGTACTATACGTTCTAGGAGAAAAGAGGGGTGGGGTGCAGTAAGCGTTTCAATTTTTCCACGACCCGTTGTTTTCCTCAGGGGCACAGGTCTGCACTTGTCGTCACTGTGTCATCCTCAAATATGATATAGACGAATGAAAAGCCGCCATCAGTGGTACTGAAATGAGCCGGTCCGAGGAAAAGGGGACAGCCTAAAAATCCGTGCATTCTCGTGAAAAAAATATTAAAAGCTCAGATGTTGGGCCACCCGAACTCCATTTTACTTTGACTACGATCAGCATATATACTACATTTTTAAAATTAGAATTTGGCACATGCACACCATTTTATTCGGGCTGATTCGAGGGTGCGCCGTTTTATTTTGCTGTTAGGCAACAATATATTTTTTTGTGTTTCAGTGTTAGGTCAGGAGTTGCACCTCACATGCCGTGACAACTGAATAAAAGGTCTCCATTATTACTAAATGAATGTCCATAAACTGTCCAACTCTCCCTGGTGATGCAGCATCATCAAAATTGAGCAGCTGTGTCCCAATTGTTTTGAAGCTCTTGTCCAATTGAGTCGGCAGTGGCCACAAATGTGCTGGCCTGTGACTGAAACCACGTGTACCAGGAAAACACTGGTTAGGGCAACTGTCCTGTTGATAAGTCAAGTGTAATCAAACTGATTGTGGCCCCTGAGCCTGGTTCATAAATCTCTCCATCCATGACTGTCAACCAGCCCAATGGGTTTATACTCACAACACATCCATCATACTATTTAATTGCACATACCATTTTCCACAATCGTGATTGCTACTGCACATTTTAGCAGACACCCAGCAATTTACAGTAGTGAGTGCACGCAGTTTTGTACTTTTTCGTACTGGGCCCCCGTGGGAATTGAACCCACAACCCTGGTGTTGCAAGCTCCATGCTCAACCAACTGAGCCACATGTTTTAGTCTTTCACAGAAGATGACTGTGAAACAAAACTAATAGGCCTACACATTTTAATACACTCAAGACCACTTGAACCCTCCAAAGTTAGAATGGTGAGAGCTTGGTGGATGAGATCTGTAAACCCATCAACTCATGTGGTCATCTGCAAAAGGACATGTCTCTTATTTACACTGCTAGTTAAAGAGGGTGTCTCTCTGTGGCCCCTGAGCCTGGTTCATAAATCTCTCCATCCATGGCTGTCAACCCGGTCATACATCTCTGGGGAGCCAGAGGCTGAGCCAGTGTTTGACCAGGGGTGAGGTGATGAAGTGCCTAGGTCAGGAGCCTGCATTCTATACTACCATGTCAGTTCAGTAAATAGAATCATACATTAATAGTTTTCTCCTCCAGCTAGCGCCAGGCCCCAGATGATTTACTCCTGGATTAGCAGCCAGGGCAGACCAATATGCCCTCCTGCGCTCATAGCATTTGCATTAGCCTATTAGTGTGAAATGGTTGGCTGGTATGGCACCAGTTTATCATGGTGCAATAATGACATTGCGTTATGCCCACCTTTGTAATGTATTGTTGTGTATGTTTAGTATTTTGCTTGAATTTCATGCGGTTTGCTTGTAAGAGTTTTTTGCACTGTCGATAGTTGGGGGTTTGCATTTGGCCAGACATTAATACCACAATTCCTGTGTCTGAGCTTCTTTCTGATAGTAGCTTATGGAATCAAAACATGTACATTATTATGTCACATTTAAAATAGTTCCCAACAACATTTTTGACATTGGAGCATACAGAAAAGGTTAATGTATATAGTCATGGGTGTTATGGAGCAAACCGACTCACAAAATACCTTAAGATTATTTATATTGGTACAATTTATTAAAGAACTGGCAGCTTTAGTAAGAGGGGAGTGCTCTGTGATTTCAGCATGTGAAGTCTGACAGCTACAACCAGAGGGATAAAGCAATCACTGATGCATATCCCCAAAAACCAACGATTAGTGGTTAAAAAGGGAGGGTAAATGCATACAAATAGCAATGGAATGTGTTAATAAAGAAATATTGCTCCTGTTATGTTCCAGTTGATTCTTCATACATTTTATATTTATTTTCCCCGAGTGTATTGATCAGTTCTGTTCAATAATAGTGCATTTAGCATCTTAATCATGCATGTGCATGATGCTTTGATGAGAATGTTGTTCATATAGAACCAGCCAGGCTTGACAGCAGTCTAATGAACTTCAGGATTGGCAAGGGCCCTCCACAAGCCATGGAGGGAGAGCTGAGGACCCACAGTACAGTAGCAACCACTGTTCGCTGTCACAGCCATACAATCCACCACTCACCGTTTCAAACTCATTGTTGTCCTTCCCATTGTCCTGTTCTTGGTCCTGTCAGTAGCACTGTCACTGTGTCTCAGTTTTACCTTTTGCTACTGCCTATAACCTTTGTCTTTGTCTTGTTTTCTTTTGAAATTGTTTCGTCATTCAACGAAATTGAAAGATTAGCATGGGCTTTTGTGTGCCTACAAAAGTCATCCCTGATTGGTGGGGGCTATTTTTGGAGACTCCACTGTGAAAGCTGACACAATTTTTGTCCATTTGTGCATGCGTGTGTGATGTTTACCCAAGTAAATGTGTGTTTTATGTGTTTACTCTGTCAAACTTGTCACCACTGCATTTTTTTTCAACTGCACATGTATGTTCTAATTACATTGTCATAATAATATACTGCGATCTCATAATATTTATGGTGCATGAGCAAGAATAGCAAACTACAAAGGAGCTGTAATGTTACATCAGCTGCCAGATTATACCCTGCCACCACCAGGCTCCTGCTGACTTTCCCTGAAATGACCCACAGTACATCTAACTCACTCACACACCATCACTCTGTACTCTTAGATATAGACTGCCCTGCCACCATTTATTATCACTAACTTCCAAGACCCAGGAACAGGAAAGTGAGCTTACAGTCAATGACTACTACTCTGATTCTATCATGAAGTCATACAGTCCGCAATTCAGAATAATACATTATAACGGCAAATCCGCTACTAGAAAGACCAGGCTTTGGAGTAAATGCGTGTGAGGGCGCCTTTGTGTGTCCCAAGACATGAGTAGAATGAGCTATAAACACCCTCTCAATGTGGGGAGAAGCCTGAAGTCACTCCACATTGGCGGTCAGGGCACCATTAACTGGGTATTTCCATAAGGAGCCTGTCAGAGAGAGTGGCCTAATGCGTGTTCCTGTAAACGCTGGACTTCTCAGGAATGAGAGGGTCATGAATTTCCCCTCTAATGGAGCGGTCCGGTGGCCAAGCCCTTGCAAGAAGGTCAGAGCGGTGCTGCCTGCCCACCGTCCATGCTTCAACGTGGGCACAGTGTGCCAAGTGAGGCTGCAGCCTAGTTCAAACAAGAAGTCTGGTTCAAACCGGGCCTGGTGCCAGTTGTCCTGTGCCACATGCCACAGTGATCCCCCTCATCACCCGGTTACGAAGCAGCCACCTCTGGAAGACATCACAGAGCATTAGAACAATAGCTGCCAGAACGCCACAGGCTTCTCTCTGGGATCACACACTCAGATGTGGTGCCTTACTTACATTTCTACATGTGAAAACATAATGTGTTTATCTCAATTGCATTGATGGTAGTGGCCATTTCTGGTCAACTTGGTGGTAAATAATGGCGGGTGTTACATATCAGCATGGAGGAGAATTAGATCATTGTCTTGAGATGGAAACAGCAGATTTTCTCTCTCAACCTTCCTGTAGGTCTTAAATAAACAACTGCATTTCTTCTCATCTCAGCCAATTTTATCATCAGTGCATTTGAAAGAGCTGTAACATTAGCTGAGTTGTCGTAATGATGACATGCCTGGCAGGCTGCAAACATATACAGTCAGGTCCAAAATTATTGGCACCATTGATAAAGATGAGCAAAAAATACTGTATAAAATAAATAATACAAATACTGAGCTATGCTCCAAAAATTGGAAGATTATATTATTTGATATAGTAATACAATTGCTCAGAGAAAGAGATTTTATTTAACACGTAATATTTGTTTTTCTCAAAAAGATAGGGGTCAGAATTATTGGCACCCCTGTTTTCAATACCTTTCAATACCTCACCTTGCGAGGATAACAGCACTGAGCTTTTAAAAAAAACATTTTATGAGATTGGAGAACACATTGGGAGGGATTTTAGACCATTCCTCCATACAGAATCTTTCCAGATTCTTGATATCCTTTGTTTGCGATTATGGCCTGCTCTCTTCAATTCAAACCACAGGTTTTCAATGGGGTTCAAGTCCGGAGACTGAGATGGCCATTACATGTTGATTTTGTGGTCAATTAACAATTTCTTTGTGGATTTTGATGTGTGCTTGGGGTTATTGTCTTGCTGGAAGATCTACTTGCGGCCAGGTTTTGGGATAAAATGTCCTGTTTACTGGTTAAAGTTCATGTCGTTGACCTTAACAAGGGCCCCAGGACCAGTGAAAGCAAAATAGCCCCATAACATTTAAGATCCACCACCATATTTTACAGTAGGTATGGGGTTCTTTTCTGCATATGCATCCTTATTTCGACGCCACTCAACACTGGTGTGCATGGCCAAAGAGCTCTATTTACATACATTTTTTTGAGCATACAATATAGCTCAGTATTTGTATTATTTATTTTATACAGTCTTTTCTGCTCATCTTTACCAAGGGTGACAATAATTTTGGATCTGACTGTGGCTCAGACATGAAAGAGCTCCCAGTGTGAGCTACTGTAGACATGTTGGCCTAATAACTATAGAGCTTGAGTCACGACCCACTGGACACACACTGGTTGAATCAACATTGTTTCCACGTCATTTCAATGAAAATGACATTGAACCAACGTGGAATAGACGTTGAATTGACACATATGTGCCCAGTGGGTAGCTACCATGATGAATGTTTATGAGAGAGACTCATACTAAATCAAATCAAATTTTATTTGCCACATGCGCCGAATACAACTGGTGTAGACTTTACCGTGAAACGCTTGCTTACGAGCCCTTCCCAACGATGCAGAGTTTAAAAAGAATAAGTAGATATGTAAATGAAGGCAGGGTAAAGTGACTAGGCCTCATGATAGATAATAATAAGAGTAAAATAAAGAACAGAGTAGCAGCAGCAAGTAATGAGGGTAAAAGTGTGTGAGTGTGCGTGTGTGTGTAATGTGTATGTATGTGTGGTTGTGTTGTGTCGGTATGCGTGTGTTTGTTATGTGTGTGTGTGTATGTAGTGTATGTGAATGTGTGTGGGTTTTGTGTGGGAGTGTCAATGTAGTGTGTGTGTACTGTATACAGTGCTTTCGGAAAATATTCAGACCCCTTGACTTTTTCCACATTTTGTTACGTTACAGCCTTATTCTTAAATTGATTAAATTGTTTCTTCCCCTTATCAATCTATACACAATTCCCCATAATGAAAAAGCAAAAACAGGTTTTTAGAAATTTTAGCAAATGTAATAAGAAATATAAATGGAAATATCACATTTACATAAGTATTCAGACCCTTTATTCAGTACTTTGTTGAAGCACCTTTGGCAGCGATTACAGCCTTGAGTCTTCTTGGGTATAACACTACAAACTTGGCACACCTGTATTTGGGGAGTTTCTCCCGTTCTTCTCTGCAGATCCTCTCTAGCTCTGTCAGGTTGGAAGGGGAGTGTCGCTGCACAGCTATTTTCAGGTCTCTCCAGAGATGTTCGAACAGGTTCAAGTCCGGGCTCTGGTTGGGCCACTCAAGGACATTCAGAGACTTGGCCCAAAGCCACTCCTGCGTGGTCTTGGCTGTGTGCTTAGGGTCGTTGTCCTGTTGGAAGCTGAACCTTCGCCCCAGCCTGAGGTCCTGAGCGCTCTGGAGCAGGTTTTCATCTAGGATCTCTCTGTACTTTGCTCCGTTCATCTTTCCCTCGATCCTGACTAGTCTGCCAGTCCCTGCCGCTGAAAAACATCCCCACAGCATGATGCTGCCACCACCATGCTTCACTGTAGGGATGGTGGCAGGTTTCCTCCAGACGTGACGCATTCAGGCCAAAGAGTTCAATCTTGGTTTCATCAAACCAGAGAATCTTATTTCTCATAGTCTGAGAGTCTTTAGGTGCCTTTTGGCACTCCAAGTGGGCTGTGCCTTTTACTGAGAAGTCGCTTCCATCTGGCCACTCTACCGTAAAGGCCTGATTGGTGGAGTGCTGCAGAGATGGTTGTCCTTCTGGAAGGTTCTCCCATCTCCACAGAGGAACTCTGGAGCTCTGTCAGAGTGACCATCGGGTTCTTGGTCACCTCCCTGACCAAGGCCTTTCTCCCCTGATTGCTCTGTTTGGCCGGGTGGCCAGCTCTAGGAAGAGTCTTGGTGGTTCCAAACTTCCTCCATTTAAGAATGATGGCCACTCTGTTCTTGGGGACCTTCAATGCTGCAGCAATGTTTTGGTACCCTTCCCCAGATCTGTGCCTCGACACAATCCTGTCTCAGAGCTCTACGGACAATTCCTTTGACCTCATGGCTTGGTTTTTGCACTGACATGCACTGTCAACTGTGGGACCTTTCCAAATCATGTCCAATCAATTGAATTTACAACAGGTGGACTCCAATCAAGTTGTAGAAACATCTCATGGATGATCAATGGAAACAGGATGCACCTGAACTCAATTTCGAGTCTCATAGCAAAGGGCCTGAATACTTATGTAAATAAGGTATTTATTTATTGTATTTCTTCATAAATATGCAAAAAGAATTAAAACCTGTTTTCGCTTTGTCATTATGGGGTATTGTGTGTAGATTGATGAGGATTTTTATTTATTTAATCCATTTGAGAAAAAGTCTGTAATGTAACAAAACGTCGACAAAAGTCAAGGGGTCTGAATACTTTCCGAATGCACTGTATATTGTCTAGTGAGTGTGCGTAGGGTCAGAGCAAGATAGAGTCATTCATTGACTATTTAGCAGTCTGGCTATTTAGCAGTCTGGCTATTTAGCAGTCTGGCTATTTAGCAGTCTGGCTATTTAGCAGTCTGGCTATTTAGCAGTCTTATGGCTTGGGGGTAAAAGCTGTCTCGGAGCCTATTGGTCTGAGAGCCGATGCTCCGGTACCATTTGCCGGACACACGTGGGAAGATGCATCCAGCTTAGCCAGTGGTGAATGGGAATCTATAGATAATTCTATGGGTCTCTCATTGATAATGAACCTGGGAAGCATCTAGTGTCTGTGTGGCCCCTCCTGACTAGCCTGGCTAAATGGAGGATAAGTGGATTGCAAGCCAAGGTTTGTGCTTAGGAGACGGGGAACCCCTTCTCCCTACTCAGTGTCCCTCTGGGAGTGGTAGGCTGCAGGTCTTGTCTAGTGTTGGCTGGCTGATTGACTCTGATACATGTGCTGCATATTTCATGCCCTCCAGTCTGTGTGTTTGTGTGTGAGGAGGCACCGTGGGAGTGTCTCTTTATAGTGATGTACTGTCTACTGTCTGAGGCAGTCTCCCTGGCCCTGCTGTCTCTTACTCCTCTGTGACCCACTGTGGCAGCATTGAAGTCTGGAGCGCCGTTATACACTGTTGTCAGCATGCTTTAATGTATACAACAACATTGGGACAATACAATTGACAGAGGACTAGCACCCCACTAGGTTAAGGTTCGAGTCTTGCCTGGCTGACAGGACATAAGGTAAAAGGGGGAGAATGGTAAAGTGATGACTAACAGAATCCCTATGAAATCTGTATGTGTTACAATAAGAGTGAAAGTTGTGTGTACTTGTATCATGTGGTTCTGAAGGCCATGTTTGTGTTTGTGTGTGTCTAGATGAGGATGAGGAGGGTCAACGTAACACTGCCCCGCTCACACCTCTGGACAGCTTCTTCAGTGACAACGTCGCCCTCAAACAACAGAAGAAGAAGAAACCCCAAAAGATGAAGGAGGGCAAGATGCCCAAAGTCAAGAAGAGGAAAAAGGAGGTAAACTCTATCATATTACAATCATGTCATGCACAATAACACAAAACCTCTAACAAGCTACAGTAGATGTTGTGCCATGTACTGTAGTAGTCCCTTGAGCAGCCATTTATATTGGCTGGGATTGAACTATGATTTCTTTACTGGTGTAAAATATTTGGTTTCTTGGACTATTCTCTAATTTCAAGGAGAAGCAGTAGAGTGTCTTTGGCTTAGGGGCACTTGGCACCAGTGCCAACGTGAGTGCCAGTGTAAGCTGTGGGCTTTGAGTGCCAGTGTAGACTGTGGATCAGGAGGAGCGCCTGTGCCCGTGGCAGTCAACATGGGCGGTAGGTCAGGAGTGCTAGAGCGTGTGCCAGTAGGTTCCAGCAACAGCATTGTGACAGAGCTGTTCTGACAGCTGAACTCTCCCAGGCATTAGTTCCTGGCATTCAGACAACAGGCTTTAAACAGCAGCACTGAGCTGAGGCTCTCCACAGACCACACCACCATCATATATCAAAATAGACAACAAACTACTCCTGCATTTTATTTGTTTCCACAACTGCTCCTTAGGTTCTTGGCTAATTGAGGTTAACCACAAATGTGCCTTGAAAGACATCATAGTGAAGTCAGGGGAAAATGTTTGGTGTAACACAGTGACAGTGAGCCAGAGGAAAGTGTTTGGTGTAACACACCCCTCTGCCATTTGAGGGCATTGCCCTTAATACAGTTTGTGTTGGCTTTGCGGTGCCTATTTCACATCTGTGTATCCCCTGCCTGGGTTCGCGGTTGATCAGTGTTCTGAACTGTGGCGGTGACAGAGCAGGGATGTCCCTGTCCAGGGCTGCCAGCGGCACTGTGAGCAGTGTCTGGTGGCCAGCCTGTCACCGGCCCTTTGGCTGGCCACGATAAACACTGAACACTGGACCACGCCGTGCTAATGAGGGGTCTCCCTCTCTCTTTCCTCTCTCTCACACACTCTCTCTTTCTCTCCACACCACTCTCTTTCCATGCTCATTTCACAAGCTCTGCTAGACAGTACACTGTATGTGTTCATCAGGCAGAACTCCCTGTTAAGGGAAACCACTACTAGCTGTTATTCACTTACAATCTCTCCCCAAAGTCTAGTGTCAGACACGGATCAATGGAGGTTACAACCCTGGCAGTGGGTCTCTTTCTCCTAGGTCAGTCTCAGAGCTGAGAAAGCCAGCAGTGCTCAGACTCCCTCTAGCAGGCCGAAGCACACCACAGGAGAGCTGTTAGGACTGATGACTGGCTAGATCAGTTTTAAGGAGAGAAATCCCTTTAGGGGGACTGTGTGTGTTGATAGTCAGCAGTGTCGTCCCCCCCGTTGCACTATACAATTGAACGGCTTTGGGTGTTTATGGTATCGGTAGGATGTGAAGTTTGCATATTCAATCAGACATTCATTTCTGAAATAATGGCTGCACATTGTAAAATTAGTATGTACTAATTTAATTTAGTACTGAAAGTAGATGTTGAACAGAAATGAAGTTGATACCAAAGGGAAGGCATTATATATAGGAATAAACAATTTGATTATGCTTTAGGACTTTCTTTATTTTTCATGATCTCCCAGGAGAGTCCTCCTCTTTCTTTCCACGCTGGTCTTATGTATCCTGTGATGTGTTTGTGTAACATTGAACCCTGTGCAGTGTGCAGTCAGTGGTTGGGTTAAGACACTTTTCTGCAGTTACTCTCTCTCTCTCTCTAGATTAACAGTTGTTCTGCTTCCCTGCTTCAACTACTTCCACCACCCCCCACCCTTTTTCATTTGGACCTCCCTCCAAACTCATTCTCTCTCCTTCTCCGTATGCATAAATGAGATTTGTCTAGACGGGCGCTGGAACACAGGCTCTGCAACCACAGGCCTCTGCATAACAAGCTCGTTATGCAAACGTGTCTGATTGGATGGCACTGTTTCATTGGCTGCTGCTGCTATAGAGTGAGGGTGAGAGAGAGGAAGAGAGAGAGAGGGAGCGAGAGAGAGACCTCCAGACTCTGCACGGGTTGGTCGCCATGGCAACACAGACGGGCTGGCGGTGGGGTTGGCGGGCGCTGCGGCAACGTGAGCCTTTCCTCTGCGCCACAGAGCGAGATGCCTGTGAGTCTCTCCATGGATCCACACAGGCCTACTGTGCAACAGGCAACAAGCTGCAGACAGCACGTTCATACACACACACATACACACAAACACTCATGCATACAACCCAATGCCAGTGCTCACTCATACACTTTATCAAAAACGTTCAACTGCGTAGCCTTCCAGATGTTGCCATAGCAAGGCCATGGAGACAATAGAAGGAGACAATACCTGCCCTTGTGGCTGGGAGGGCGAGATGTGATTGGCTGGGCTGCTCACGGTGTATGTTGCTGTGTTGTTGCAGTTCTCTGTGTAAGTAGCATGTTTAGAGGTGAACGAGCCTCTGATCATGCCTTCTATGGAGCTCTCAACAAGCTGGATGCTAGATATTAACTCAATTGATGAAATGTGACCGACCACCTCGATTCGGTCTTATGTATCAACATTTGAAATGGTGTTTCTTACATTGGATAAAAGTAGAGACTCAGCTACAAAATGGTATAACATACACTGCAGTTGAGGAACAATGGGAAAGTAATTCTGCTTTGAAAGTTGATAAACTTGTAACCCCACTTTTGAGAAAATGGCCCTTGAATGTTTTGGTACACCTACTGGAGAGCTCTTCTTTTTCAGCATCGTTCACACTCTCTTAAGCCTTAGCCCCACCCATCTCTTCAAGGATTTACAAATGAGGACATTTGCTAAACATACTAAGTAAGGTAGTGTAGTAAACAACCAAAGATTTCAAGACTACAGTGGAAAGTAGTAGCCTAAAATAAGGAAAAACTCCAGGTAAAAATACAATTGATCTAGTTCTTGGCCTATATCCTAATCTAACTTTGGTGCAGGTCATGTTGTTCTTCACTTTACCATCTCTGGTAAACACACACTATATCAAATAAAATCTAAGTTTATTTGTCACATGCACAGGATACAGAAGGTGTAAACGGTACTGTGAAATGGTTACTTGCATATTTGCATAGTAGCAATATCAAAAATAGAAAGTGTCCAGATAAAAACATATACGTTTGTATAATTATTAGATGATGCTTACCCAGACACACTTGTGTAAATTGATAGGTCATGTGAACGAAATGCTATAACTACCCCCCAGCCACATCTAGCTAAGTGGATGGGTCACTATTGTCTAGACATGTACGCTTGTTCATGAAATACAATAGATGGCCATAATCTCCCCCAGACACACCTGGCTAACTTGATGGATCATGTAGTCATCTGGCGAAGTGGAGTCTTTTGTTTTGACATGTAGCTAGCTAGCTAAACAATGAACCATAATCCCAACCCATACAGTACAAACAGATTGTCATGGCTAGCCACCATGCATGAGATGCTGTTGTATGAATCTGCAGGTAGCTAAAGCTGACCAACTAGATTCAATGTTAGCTACTGTAGCTAGCAAAATTAGGCTATAAATAGCAATGCAAATAGCTTTCTGAGATATAAATAATATTACTACAGAGATCATACATGTAACGTTAGCTAGCGAGCCAGCAAGCGAACGTTCGCTAGCTAGCTAACAGCACGCTTTAACCAGGGTTGGGTAGGTTGCTTTCTAAATGTAATCCGTTACAGTTACTAGTTACCTGTCCACAATTGTAATCAGTAACGTAACTTTTGGATTACCCAAACTCAGTAATGTAATCTGATTACATTCAGTTACTTTTAGATTACTTTCCCCGTAAGAGGCATTAGAAGAAGACACAAATGTATGTTACCAATTGAACGACATCTATTGCAGGATAAATCAATGTTAAAGTTTACATAGCTGGCCATATATGGAGGTTAAATTTTACTTTATAGGTTGGTTATGTAGGCTTCTTCTAACCCATTGCTTTCTACTACATATAATAATACACTTAAATTATATCTTTACATTAAAAACCAAAGTCTATCAGAATTCCAGTCATTTCAATAAATGTTATACCCCTTGATCTTCAAGAATAGGATTTGGATATATGGAAGTATAGATTAGCCAAATTGTTTTACCTGAGCATAACCCCAAAACTAAAGATTTATTAGCTAGCCGTACTCTGTTGTCATAGAGAACTGATTGGGCTCATTGATTCGAGTTGAAAAATAAATGCTGCGCTCATGGAGTGCTATGCTTTGAGCACTACTGAAAAGTGCTATTTACATGTGAAAAATTAATGCTATGTGCTGCATTTTCTATAGGCCTATTGTTTACATTTTTGTTGGTGACACTTTGATATCTTGATAATATGTAGCTGTTTAAAGGGCAAATCCACAAATGAAACAATAACAAAACGGACGCCCCGCCTCTGTTGGGATGGGCCTGGAGAAATGTAACCATTCTCAGATTAATAGACAGAGCTATGGATGCAAGGACTGGCCATCCATGATATCAAAATTATTGTTTAAACCATGTTATGAGGCTATACAGTGTTTGTTTACATTTACAATGTTTACAAACATTGGAGAAAAACAAGTTTATATTTGGGGTTCTCATGAGGCATTTAAAAATTATATTCTTCAAGAATCAATGGATATATATATATATATATATATATATAATTTATAAGTCAAAAAATGGATATAGCAACTACAGATTGCCCCTTTAAGTCTATCAAAAGTGTGCTAGTCCATTAGGCCTATGGATTTTTTTTTTTTGTCAGCATGAATTAGATTGAGCAATAAAAGCCCCACTTTTATTCCATAGGCTGGGATCCGCACTATGCAGCTGTTGCAATAGCGCATTTTTCATTGGCTGTCCACTGGTTTCAAAAACAATGATTGATAAGCAGCTTAAACTTCTTGAATTCAACCATTATTGGGTTCAAATACACATTTTGATTTGTGAACAGCCATCCACAACAACCACAATCCGTAAGTCGCAAATAGCTAAATAAGAGAGCAGCAGTGTGATTCACATCAATGCGCTATGTAGATATCAATAGTAAGTGATATCTGTATCGCCGTAGACTACACAACTGCTGTCATCCTTACCTCCAAGCGTTTATTCAAGTTGGATAATCTTTGGATGCCGACAGCAGTCGCACCATTGGAAGACATAGCTTGGACTGTAGCCTACAAAAGCCTATTCCTGCTCTTTTCCCGCGATCCATCAAACTCATTTGGTGTGTCATCATAGTGGTCTCTGACTTGTGGTCAGACTCGCTCAGGTGGAACAAACTTAAACTTGCGCCTTTTTTCGATGCTGATTTGAATGTGTTTGAGAACATAGAGAAGTGTCAAAGATTTTCTTTTCGCAAGCATCCTTTCTGAATTTAAAAGTAATCCTCAAAGTAATCATGTAGTTTTTTAAAAGTATCTGTAATCTAATTACAATATTTTTGCTGGTAACGTAACATTACTATATTTTTGTAGTCCCTGGCTTTAACTTGCAATGAAAACAACTTTCTGACAAAATTAGAAACGCATAATATCAGAAAGTGTAGCTAGACTCTTACCCGTATACATGGATGAACGCTTCACGGCAGACTGGAACCACTTTAACTAAGTAAGACGTCCAGCTGTGTCGTTTCCATTTTGTTTGTAGCTACAGCTTGTTTGGCCCATTGTGTCAAGTCACTCTGGTTCACACTGACGCTGTGCAGAAAGTAGTCCATCACAACTTTTTCCCACTGATCTTTGTCAATAGCGCCTGCTAAATTCAGGGCAGCAATGTTGTTGAGAGCAGTAGCAACACTTTTGCAGTTCTCCATGGCTAACGTTATATCTTTCAAAAAAGCCGCGGTAGCAAGGATTATCTACACATACTGAGCAGCTCATGTTATAGACAGATGTGTGCTTCATGGCAGACCAATTCGAACTCATCTCTCGGCATGTCCAGCCTATCCATTATCTCAGCCAATCATGGCTAGTGGGAAGGTTCCTGTCTTTTTCCGTGGCTAAATTAACTAGGCTCGTAATTTAACCATTTTATTCGTATTTACAGATGGCATATAAGTGTGTTATTAAGGCACATGAAAGTTCACATGTTCCAGAAGGCATTTCTGCCCCAAAAAACACATTTAGATAAAATATTAAATGATTACGTTCAAATGCCTCTCCTGTGAGTAGTGATGTGCGACATACGCCTAGCTTCCTGAAACAGGTCACAAATGGTCATCATTATCCAGATGGTATGGGGGACTATCTTTCCTCTTGAAGTACAGACTGTATGTTAGTGATATTTTCTGACTCATTGTCTGTGCATCAAATGTCTCCTGAATGATTGACAGACAGAGGGGGTGAGATTGTAAGTGAAAGTAATGAGAGTGTTGAGATGATAAACAATGTTGTATCTGTGTGTGTGTGTGTCAGGGAGGAGGAGGTGGAGGAGTAGGAGGTGGTGGCAGTGACTTGAAGGATCAGGCCTCAGAGCGGGAGGATGACCGTCCACTGCAGGGTCCAGAGATTGGCTCAGAGAGCGAGAGCAGCACCTATGCCCTAACCACAAAGAAGAAGAAGAAACCTAAGGAGAAGAAAGAGAAGAAACCCAAACGGAAAAAGAGAGAAGAGGAGGAGGATGACGAAGATGATGATGACGAAGATGATGAAAATAGTAAGGTACAGTAAGAGTGCCTCTGTTAAAACATCTCTGTCTAGTTTGATCTGTATTTGTATTGTTTGGAGCCTTTGTGGAGTCATAGACTGAACTCTTACTTCAGTGTTGTTGTGCCCCAGGAGCCCAAGTCGTCCAGCCAGCTGATGCAGGAGTGGGGTCTGGAGGATGTGCAGTATGGCTTCACAGAGGAGGACTATACAACCCTCACCAACTACAAGGCCTTCAGCCAGTTCCTCAGGTACTGTACATGTAGGATCATCATTTACTGCTTGTCTTGTCTATGGATGGCTGTCATGGCTGTGTTGTTTAGTTGTTGCTTGAATCTATCCAAATAAAAACTGTATAGAGATACTGGAGCAGTGTGGTGAACACTGGACCGTTTGTTAGAGAGAGAGAGCGAGAGAGATAGATGTTGTGGCTGTGTGTGACAGCCTGGAGGCTCAGAGACTGAATGCATTGGTCCAGTATCTCAGAGAGACCAATGTGCCGAACACCAAGACATTGGCTGACAAATCACAAACAAGGTACGCACAGAACACAGAGGGGATGTCACACAGATGGGTCACCACTAGTTCTGGTGAATAAAGATACAGGTCACTCTAGTGCAGATTGTTACAGTATATAATTAACTTAGAAAATAACAAGATGGTAAGACTACAGTGTTTTTTCTCTTTCCCTGACTTTTCTCAGGCCACTTATTGCCAAGAAGAACCCTAAGATCCCCATGTCAAAGATGATGACAGTGTTAGGGGCCAAGTGGCGAGAGTTCAGCGCTAACAACCCCTTCAAAGGCACCTCTGCAACTGCTGTGGCTGCCGCGGTGGCTGCTGCCGTGGAAACGGTCACCGTGGCCTCGCCCATCTCTGTCAAAGAGATCACCACCCTATCAAGCTCTCAGCCTGGGCCAATCAGAAAAGCCAAAACCAAAGAGGGAAAGGGTAAGGGCTGTCAGTCAATAATTCTGTATATCAATATGTATAGAAATTTAGTAATAAAGTACCCTCTATACCTCTCTGGTCTGTGCCTGATCTTGTTGTCCTATAGGGCCTGGGGTTCGACGGAAAACAAAGACTGTAAAGGAGGTGAAGAAGAAAAGTAAAGGGAAGAAGACCAAATCAAAGAAGAAAGCATCCTCGGTAAGGTTTGGAGCGGCACAGGTCTCCTTTCTTACCTTCAGTCACATTACCATGACTTGAAAGGATACAGTAGATAGTTGTTCCCACACTCTAGTATGGATGAGGTATGTGCTTATTGTCTTAGTTGTACAGATCCCTAAATACTCATTTTATGGTTTTATGGCCAAACTTGTGTGTGAATGTTATTGTCTCTCATTGCTGATTGACTGTGAGGTTGTGAATGACTCGTGTCTGTTGGCAGAGTGAGGAGGACTTTGCGCTGGAGGAGTCGGACTTTGATGATGTCAGCATCCACAGTGCCTCTGTGCGCTCTGATACCTCGGGGAATTCCAAGAAGAAAGCCCGGAAGGGTCGAAAAAAAAGGAAAAGTATGCTATGTCCGTTATCTACACTAACCAGTTCCACTAGTTTATACTGTATATCCTCCTACCTTTCCATAACCCTCATAACCTAATGACTGTTACTGCTGTGTGTGTGACTTGACTTTTATCTGTGTTTCCTGTCTTGTGTCCAGGAGAGGATGGGGATGGCTATGAGACAGACCACCAGGACTACTGTGAGGTGTGCCAGCAGGGAGGGGAGATCATCCTGTGTGACACCTGTCCCAAAGCCTACCACCTGGTGTGTCTGGACCCCGAGCTGGAGAAAGCTCCCGAGGGCAAGTGGAGCTGCCCCCACTGTGTGAGTAGTACACCTTAACCTGGACTATCACTAAACACAACAGAAGTACATCACTATCACATTATTAAAAAATAAAAATACATTATCACTGTCCCTCATCTGTGCATTCAGGAGAAAGAGGGCATCCAGTGGGAGGCCAAAGATGATGACGATGAGGAGGAGGAGGTTGCGGTTGAGGAAGAGGACGACCACCTGGAGTTCTGTAGAGTGTGTAAAGACGGAGGGGAGCTGCTGTGCTGTGACACCTGCCCCTCCTCCTACCATATCCACTGCCTCAACCCTCCACTGCCTGAGATACCCAATGGGGAGTGGCTGTGCCCACGCTGCATGGTGAATGACAAGTTCTCCCACCAGTCAGTGTGATGATCCAGTTGATGAACCATGTTATTTGTGAGAATGCACTTGGCTCTCCATTATTAAAATAGACTGCTGGAAACAAAATGAAAGTGTCACTCTCTGTGCAGGCTCCCAAGAGAGAACAGAGATAGACTAATGAGGATAATACCATGCTGTCTCACACAACTCTCTTTCCCCCTCTAGTGCCCACCTCTGAAGGGGAAGGTACAGAGGATTCTCCACTGGACTTGGGGGGACCCCCCCTTACCAGCTGAGGTTCCCCCTGGCCCTGATGGAGAGACTGTGGACCCGCTGGTCAAGCCCCCCCTGAAGGGCCACCCGGAGAGGGAGCTGTTTGTCAAGTGGGCTGGTCTCTCCTACTGGCACTGCTCCTGGGTCAGCGAACTGCAGGTGAGACACACATTTGTCTGTTTGTCTGACTGCTGCAGAGGGGTTTGTCAGAGTTATCACAGTGTTTGAAAGTCAGCCATGGTCAAATATAGTGGCTTCCTCTCACTTTAAAAATCAAGTTTGCAGAAGTTACAAGACGCCACATTTGCTACAGCACATTGTCACAAATATGACAAAAAAATTCTGCAGCATTGTTGGTAAAGCCATGGTCTTTTCTGTGGTGTGTGCAGTTGGAGCTGTACCATGCGGTGATGTACCGTAACTATCAGCGTAAGAACGACATGGATGAGCCCCCTCCGTACGACTACGGCTCTGGGGAGGAGGAGCTGAACAATGAGAAGAGGAAGAGTAAAGATCCGCAGTACGCTGCCATGGAGGAGAGATTCTACCGCTACGGCATCAAGCCAGAGTGGATGGTCATCCACAGGATCCTCAACCACAGGTGCCCACCACAGACACACACACCTTCCTCTCCCTGGAGGGATATTCTCTCACCCGGACTCACGCTCTGCACTTGATATATAATGGAGTAAACTAGAGACAGGAGTCTCAACCTTACATTTATGTCCCAGGTTTGAAATGTGTAATTGCAACCTTTCCCTTTGTATTCTGAAGTTCAATCCAAAAGCTCACAGAGTTGTGATTGTCATTGTTGCTTGCGTTCCCTACAGTTATGATAAGGATGGGGATGTGCACTACCTGATAAAGTGGAGAGACCTGCCCTATGACCAGTGCACCTGGGAGGTGGATGACTTTGACGTCCCTGAATATCACAACGCCAAACACTCCTATTGGGACCACAGGTCAGTTCTGAACTCACACGTTCTCTATCTCTCTCTCTCTCTCTCACACGCATGCACATGCACATACAGACAAATACATTTCACATGATTTCATATTTCATGTCGTCTCCTGTGATTTGACAGGGAGCAGATGATTGGTGACGACCAGCGCCCTTTAGTGGTGAGAAAGGGAAAGAAGGGCAAAGAGGAGGAGAAGAGGAGGGAGAGAGAAATCCCTCCTAACGCTCCAATTATAGATGTGAGTGGGAATCATTACTAGGGACTAAAACATACTGTACTATTGGCTTAACAATAAACTGACACACCTCTGGCTGTTCTTTCTCTGTCACTAGCCTACCATCAAGTTTGAACATCAACCCTGGTACATCAATGCCACTGGGGGAACCCTGCACCCGTACCAGCTGGAGGGGTTGAACTGGCTGCGGTTCTCATGGGCACAGGGCACAGACACTATCCTGGCAGACGAGATGGGCCTGGGCAAGACTGTCCAGACCATCGTGTTCCTCTACTCACTCTACAAGGAGGTGGGTGAGGAGAACTGGCTCATACAGGATAGGGGTCTATTTGTTTAGTATTCATGTTCTATGACATTATTAAGTAAATACAATACAACACAATAGAATCAGGACTGTTGCGTATATTGTCAAATAGTGTCCTTAGTCATGACTTTAAAAGGGTAAGGCTGAAACATGTCCTCCTCTCTCAGGGTCACTCCAAAGGGCCATACCTGGTCAGTGCCCCCCTGTCCACCATCATCAACTGGGAGAGGGAATTTGAGATGTGGGCCCCAGACTTCTACGTGGTGACCTACACTGGGGACAAAGAAAGCCGGGCGGTCATCAGGGAGAACGAGTTCACCTTTGAGGACAGTGCAGTCAAAACAGGCCGCAAGGTCTTCCGTATGAAGGTATCCGCATAAACTACACTTACAATGTATTGAATCGCAGTAAACATCGACAAGCATGTAATTTACAGGCCAAAGGAGAGTGGTGGTCATATCTAGACTCTCTGTTTTGGTCTTGACAGAAAGACACTGCCATCAAGTTCCATGTGTTGCTGACGTCATATGAGCTAATCACCATCGATCAGACCATTCTGGGCTCCATTAACTGGGCCTGTCTAGTGGTGGATGAGGCCCACAGACTGAAGAACAACCAGTCAAAGGTAACCCAACACCTCAAATTAAACCAAATCATTCTACAAATGGATATAATTGGTCTTTATTTCTTAAGATCCAAATTTGGATTTCTGTACAACCTATGATCAATATCTTATCTATCTCCTCCCTTTCAACATCATCAACATTATGACTCAATTATATTTGTGGCTTGGTTGAGCCTCTAATGTCGCTGTCACTGTACCTCAGTTTTTCAGAATCCTCAACGGGTATAAGATCTACTATAAGCTGCTACTGACTGGCACTCCTCTGCAGAACAACCTGGAGGAGCTGTTTCACCTGCTCAACTTCCTCACCCCAGAGAGATTCAAGTAAGAGCTGTACTGTGCCTCCTCCTGTGGCCCTCCATTAGCCTGGCAGCCTGCCTATGGGGCCTGTTACCTGCTGCAGTAGCAGAGAGTAAAGACCTAATGCTTAGGGAAATGCAATGGTTACCACAGGGTCCTCCTTTCAAATCCCTGCTGGCTAAGGCTTACAGTACAGCCTAAAGCCATGGTAGATGCATAACATCGACTGGAACAAATGGGGAGTGTGCCGTCTTTAAATGGTGTCTATAAACTGTTTTGCTGTGTCTGTGCTCGCTCTGTGTGCAGTAACCTGGAGGGCTTCCTAGAGGAGTTTGCAGACATCTCCAAGGAGGACCAGATCAAGAAGCTGCATGACCTGCTGGGCCCACACATGCTCAGGAGACTGAAGGCTGACGTCTTCAAGAACATGCCTTCCAAAACAGAGCTCATTGTACGAGTGGAGCTCAGCCCCATGCAGAAGTTAGTTAGTCCTCTTCTATTACTTTTCTATTGGACCTCCCATTGTTGTATAAACCCCTTCTGAGTGGTTCCCCCAGGCCTAATCCTGCCTCTCATGTTTGACCTCTGATCCACAGGAAGTACTACAAGTTCATCCTGACACGGAACTTTGAGGCGCTCAACTCCAAGGGCGGGGGCAACCAGGTGTCCCTGCTCAACATCATGATGGATCTGAAGAAGTGCTGCAACCACCCCTACCTGTTCCCCGTGGCAGCCATGGTGAGGGAGGGAGGAGAGATGGGAGAGGGGGAGGGGAGAGGGTAGAGGGAGGGAGGGGAGGAGAGAGGGCAGAGGGGGGAGACCATGCTACGGGTTAAGATGTGGAACTGATGTTTAGGAGGACTTCTGTGTTTCTATGTGTGTATCAGTGGAGGCTGCTGAGGGGAGGACGGCTCATAAAAATGTCTTGAATGGAGTCAATAGAATGGTATCAAACACATCAACGATGTGGTTTCCATGTGGTTGACACCATTCCATTCACTCCATTCCAGACATTATAATGAGCCGTCCTCCCCTCAGCAGCCTTCACTGGTGTGTATTGTAGAAGTTTATAGGTTGCCAACATGCAGGTATGTTTGTTTTATCAGTGAGAGTGGACTGTCTGTGTGTGAGGGGCTGTAGTCTCTCATTGGGTTATTTGCTCATTGTGTATATGCAGGAGGCACCAGTGTTACCCAATGGCTCTTACGATGGGAACCAGCTGGTGAAGTCCTCAGGCAAACTCACCCTGCTCCAGAAGATGCTAAAGAAACTAAAAGATGAAGGACACAGAGTTCTCATCTTCTCCCAGATGACTAAGATGCTGGATCTGCTTGAGGACTTTCTGGAATACGAGGGCTACAAATATGAACGCATCGATGGAGGCATCACAGGGGGGCTACGACAGGAGGCTATCGACCGCTTTAACGGTAAGTTACGCTGCTGTTCTGTCTTTCTCCGCAGGGAGCAGCACAGACAGCACTCACACTCGCGTACACACTCACTCATTGACTGTGTGCCTTGATTCCTACTGCAGCACCGGGCGCTCAGCAGTTCTGCTTCCTGCTCTCCACCCGAGCTGGAGGCTTGGGCATCAACCTGGCCACGGCAGACACCGTCATCATCTATGACTCAGACTGGAACCCTCACAACGATATCCAGGTACTGTGGGACATGGTATCGAGTAACACAGGCATACTGTGCATACAGTATACTGTCTTCTGAATGGTTTATAACCCTCACAGTGTTATCTTGTTCCATTTGTCTTCCTCCTTGACTCTCTGTTATGTTTCTTTGTTTCTTCCTCTGTACCTCTCTCTGCCGCTTTCTCTTTCTCTCTCTCCCTCGCACCCTCCCTCCATCTCTCTGCTGCAGGCATTCAGCAGGGCCCACCGTATAGGTCAGAATAAGAAGGTGATGATCTATCGCTTCGTGACACGAGCTAGCGTAGAGGAGCGCATCACCCAGGTGGCCAAGAGGAAGATGATGCTGACCCACCTGGTGGTGAGGCCCGGCCTGGGCTCCAAGACCGGCTCTATGTCCAAACAGGAGCTGGACGACATCCTCAAGTTCGGCACCGAGGAGCTCTTCAAGGACGAGATGGAGGCAGCCGCTCGGGCCATGGGTTCCCATCAAAAACTCTGTAAGAATAACGGTACGCCCACTGACTACACTGTGTCACAATATAAAGCAATCAAGCTTCTAAATGTGCCGCTATTTTCAAGCATGCTGCTATAGTTATAGACACACAACCAAAGAGAGGTATAGTGTCCCACTCGTGTTACCAGAGGTGTATCTAGAGCAGTGGGCTTCAAAGTTGGGGTCGCGGGGGAACTGCAGTGGGGTCGCCAAATAAATACATGGAAATGTACAGAGGACAGATTATTGTATGGGATCAATATACAATTCACCCCAAGGGTTTAGCATTTCTGTATGAAAAAGGCAGACCTGTTTTGCTAGGAACATATAGTAGTTTTGAACTAAACATTAAACCAATTTGCATTCTTCTAATATTGTCTATAGATTTGAACTAGATATTAAGTAAACCAGCCTGTATCTCTCTGATATATTCTGATACTTGTGTTTACTCCAGGGGACATAAAGGATGGAGATGAAGGTAGTGTAATCCACTATGATGACAATGCCATCTCCAAGCTGCTGGACCGTAGCCAGAATGCTACGGAGGACACTGAGATCCAGAACATGAACGAATACCTCAGCTCCTTCAAGGTGGCCCAGTACGTGGTCAAAGACGAGGACGCAGAGGTGAGGACACACACTCACACACTCAATCAGCATGGGCGTTGTTATGTCTGGAAGTGGCTCTATTATGTATTCTCACAGTGTGTATGTGTGTCTATTCAGTATTCTCTCTTCATTGTATTCTCATTGTTTACCAGTGTTTATTCAGTAGTAGCTAACCATTTTGTTTACCAAGGAGTATCCTTGTTCAGTATTCTCACTGTGTGCGCATGTGTGTTTCAGGAGGAGCCCCAGCGGGAGATCATTAAGCAGGAGGAGAATGTGGATCCAGACTACTGGGAGAAGCTGCTGAGGCACCATTATGAGCAGCAACAGGAGGACCTGGCACGCAACCTGGGCAAAGGCAAACGCATCCGCAAGCAGGTCAACTACAACGACACGTCTCAGGAGGACCAAGGTTTGCCTCATACTGTACTGTACACTCTGGCCTGCTTTTCTCTTCTGCTTTAAAGGGATACTTTAGGATTTTGGCAATGAAGTCCTTTATCTACTTCCCCAGAGTCAGATGAACTCGTGGATACCGTCTATAGCGTTAGCGCAATTGCTAACTAGCGTTAGGTTAACGTCTATGGTAACTGCTAGCATGGGTTGTGAAACTGCCTCTAACTTCCTTCATACTGGATGCAGAGTATAAAAATGGTATCCATGAGTTCATCTGACTCTGGGGAAGTATATAAAGGGCTGCATTGCCAAAATCCTGAAGAATCCCTTTACTGTAACAGTAATGCTATGCTTATTGGTCCCCCTCCTTTTAGAAAACATTTGAGTGAAGTTAGCATCACTCTAGAACAGTGGTATTCAAACTTTTTCAGTGGGGACCCCATTTTTTTTCCTCCAGATTTTCTGGGTACCCCATTTTCTTCCCAAGATCTAATGACACTACCTTAAAATCGGTAAATTTATATTTTTACATCAACAAATAACCTTTAATTCATCGCATTTTCATCTTGAAAAGAAACCAATAAATGAATTTACTCAATAAAATTGTATTTTTCAAATGATCTTTTCTCAAAAACGTTTGTATATTGATCCCATACAATAATCTGTACTCTGTACATTTCCATGTATTTATTTGGCGACCCCACTGCAGTTCCCCCGCGACCCCAACTTTGAAGCCCACTGCTCTAGATACACCTCTGGTAACACGAGTGGGACACTATCCCTCTCTTTGGTTGTGTGTCTATAACTATAGCAGCATGCTTGAAAATAGCGGCACATTTAGAAGCTTGATTGCTTTATATTGCTTATAGCTTTACAGTATGTAAGTTGTGTAGAGTTCCTCTCATAACACTACCCCCCCATAGTTCAACAATAGGCATTTGAGACTGAAGGGGAAACATTTTAACCCATCTAAAGCAAAAGCACACTCAGAGACATGAAGTGTTGATGAAGTGCACAGTCCACCAGTGTAGTGGCTGGGAGGACAGAACAGACAGAGACTCTGCTGCAAGTCAGTAGTAGTATGTGTAAAGAATGCCTGCCCCCCAGTGGTGTAGTGGAGTAGTGTCAGTGTGCATGCCCACTGTAGCGGTCTGCAGTGCTAGGGCCCACCCCCCTGTAGGCCCCTGCAGAAGTGAATGCACTGTGCTGTTTCTCTCTGATCTGATCTGTGGCTCAGAGTGGCAGGATGATCTTTCAGACAATCATTCCGAGTACTCCGTGGGGTCCGAGGACGAGGACGAAGATTTCGAGGAGAGGCCGGAAGGTGGGTGTCAATGAGACCTGCGTAATCACTACGTTATAGATAGCTAACTCTCTCAGTGCCTGCTCTGCCCTGTGTAGATGGGCCTGGAACCTATCATTGGTAAGATGTTGCTGAGGCACCTGGCTGATGGTGGGGGGGTGTTTCTCTGTAGGTGGGCGCAGGCATTCTCGCAGGCAGCTGAAGAGTGACAGGGACAAACCTCTGCCACCCCTGCTGGCACGCGTAGGGGGCAACATCGAGGTAAGGAAGAAAGCACTCTGGTTTTATTGTAGTAGACAACATGTGTATGCACATTGATTTGACTAATGGGTGTAATGCCCTGTGCCAGGTGCTGGGGTTCAACGCCCGTCAGCGGAAGGCCTTCCTCAATGCCATCATGCGCTGGGGAATGCCTCCTCAGGACGCCTTCAACTCTCACTGGCTGGTCAGAGACCTGAGAGGGAAGAGTGAGAAAGAGTTCAGGTATTTAAAGCTCCTCCTGTACTCAGCTGCATCTCAACAGTCTCTACTGTTCACTCTTATATACGAAATGCAAGACAATGTCAGTTCAAGTATCTTTGTTACTGGGATCGGAAATTGATTGGCTGTATGAATGTGACCCTGTCTCTCTAGGGCCTACGTGTCTCTGTTCATGAGACATCTTTGTGAGCCGGGGGCAGACGGGGCGGAGACCTTTGCAGACGGGGTTCCACGAGAAGGGCTGTCCCGCCAGCATGTCCTCACCAGGATCGGGGTTATGTCTCTGGTCAGGAAAAAGGTACACATCAACCAGTCATCCAATGACTCCATAGTTACATTAATAAAACCCAACAGCAGTAAGTTAGCCTCCTAATTGGGTTGATAAATGTCTTGTAGCCTATGTTTAGATTGAGTAAGGCTGGTTCTCTGCCTCTAGCATCTGGTTTTAGATAGCATGCCTTCAATAAAATGAAACAAGTCTAGAATGGTGGAGAAATCCAGTGTCTTCTGTTGTTAGATTGTTAACTCACTGTTGTGTCTGTATCCAGGTCCAGGAGTTTGAGCATGTCAATGGGAAGTACAGCACTCCAGACCTGATCCCTATTGGACTGGAGCTGAAGAAACTGACTGAGAGTCTGTCCTCTGACCCCAACACCCCTGTCCCTGCCAGCCCTGCAGCCACACCCCAGCCTCCTGGAACTCCTGTCCCACCAGGTCAGAGTCACATCCTCACCCTGTCCAGTGTGTGTGGTATGTGTGTGTGTTTCAGAACTCATCTTAGTTCATTAGATTCATTAGACAGGAAATGAGAGACACTGTTGGTGATTGTTTTGCTGTTTTTACAGAAAAGACGGACTCGATCTCAGGGCCTGCTGAAGACAAGGAGCCCACAGAACAAGAGTGCAAGAAGCTACCAGAACTGGAGGTCAGAGTTCATGCTTCTTCTGAAATGTCCCTTTATTCCCCTTTCTCTTATCCTTCTCATCCCTCTATCCTTTACTGTCTTCATACGTCTCCCCATACATCTAATTTAATTATTCTTATAATACAAAAACATATGCCACCTTCTAACTGGCACCTTTAAAGTAAACTGTCTCCCTCTCCATCTGTGATGGTTGTCTCTCCAGACTCATGTTAGTACAGAGTCGTTTTCCCAGGTAGAGAAGACGGACATCGTTCCTGACAGTGATGAGACAGCGAAGGGCAGCACAGAGTACAAACCAGTCTCCTCAGAGGAGAGTAGTGAAATGAAAGACACACCCTCCACACTGATAGAGCCATCCATCAATCCTAAAGAGCCTCCATCCAAACAGACAGAGCTGTCGTCCAATCAAAGCTCACCAAAAGGTGAGTGGTGCATTACATGGTTATTATAATCATATGAGATGTAAATGGTTGGTGTAATGGCTTTGGTTTGTTCCCACTTCATAAAAATCAGTTGGGACATGTCTCTGTTCTGATGTGGTCATCTGTCTGTCTATTACCCCCTAGCGGAGCCCTGTCGAGAGACAGAGAAGTCCTTAGATAAAGGAGACAGTGATCCTGCCCCAGCCAAACCTGAGGAGAAGGAACTGAAGCCAGGTATTTGCGGAACAGCGAAAAACATTAAAACCTTGTCACTCTTCGAGTGACACTTTTTGCTGAACGTGGAACTAAAAAATGTAAGCTTGTCATTCCATTTCCTTAGTTGTTTCAGACGAGGCCAAGAGCGAGGACTTGCTAGTGCCCGAGGGACGGCTGAATGGAGAAAAAGAAGCACAGGAGGAGACAGAGGATGTCAGGAAGGAATTACTGGAGAAGAATGGTTTCAAGATGAGATTCATGTTCAACATCGCCGACGGAGGCTTCACAGGTGAGGGATGAGCAGGAGACACAGCTAAGGTGTAGGAACACTACATACACTACATGACCAAAAGTATGTGGACACCTGCTCGTCGAACATCTCATTCCAAAATCATGGGCATTAATATGGTCACCCCCTTTGCTGCTATAACAGCCTACACTTTTCTGGGAAGGCTTTCCACTAGATGTTGGAACATTGCATCCTAACTGGGTTGAGAAATGTCTTGTAGCCTATGTTTAGATTGAGGAAGGCTTGTTCCCTGCCTCTAGCATCTAGTTTTAGATAGCATGCCTTCAATAAAATGAAACAAGTCTAGAATGGTGGAGAAATCCAGTGTCTTCTGTTGTTAGATTGTTAACTCACTGTTGTGTCTGTATCCAGGTCCAGGAGTTTGAGCATGTCAATGGGAAGTACAGCACTCCAGACTTGCTTCCATTCAGCCACAAGAGCATTAGTGAGGTCGGGCACTGATGTTGGGCGATTAGGCCTGGCTCGCAGTCGACTTTCCAATTCATCCCAAAGGTGTTAGATGGGGTTGAGTTCAGGGCTCTCTGAAGGCCAGTCAAGTTCTTCCACACCGATCTTGACAAACCATTTTTGTATGGACCTCGCTTTGTGCACAGGGATATTGTCATGCTGAAACAGGAAAGGGCCTTCCCCAAACTGTTTCCACAAAGTTGGAAGCACAGAATTGTCTAGAATGTAATTGTATGCTGTAGCGTTAAGATTTCCCTTCACTGGAACTAGCCCGAACCATGAAAAATTACTTGTCATACCTCAAGTAGTCTATGTCACCTCGTTCTCTTGCAGCCTTCATAGCTGGTATTAGTTCCTTTCTTCTTTGACAGAGAAATCCTCATTGATGAAGATGTAGGACCCTTTAAGGCATTTGTCTTTTTCAAAGACTGCAAGCTTATCCTGTGAGCTTGTGTGGCCTACCACTTCGCAGCTGAGCCGATGTTGCTCCTAGATGTTTCCACTTCACAATAACAGCACTTACAGTTGACCGAGGCAGCTCTATTTTACGAACTGACTTGTTGGAAAGGTGGCATCCTATGACGGTGCCACGTTGAAAGTCACTGAGCTCTTCAGTAAGGCCATTCTACTGCCAATGCTTGTCTATGGAGATTGCATGGCTGTGTGCTCGGTTTTATACACCTATCAGCAATGGGTGTGGCTGAAATATCCAAATCCACAAATTTGAACGGGTGTCCACATACTTTTGTATATATAGTGTAGATGTATGATCTGATGTGTTACTATATCTCAGAGCTGCACACCCTGTGGCAGAACGAGGAGCGGGCTGCCGTGTCATCTGGGAAGATGTATGATATCTGGCACCGTCGCCACGACTACTGGCTGCTGGCTGGCATCGTAACGTATCCTTCCTCTGCATCTAACAGAGCTGTTCAGAATTCGCAGTGTGCAGGTCTCTCTATTTGTGATGTGAAGCCCTTTTATCATGTTTGTTTTCCTTTACGGGGGAACCTCAGACATGGCTATGCCCGCTGGCAGGACATTCAGAACGACCCACGCTATGCCATCCACAATGAGCCCTTCAAGACTGAGATGCACAAGGGAAACTACCTTGAGATGAAGAACAAGTTCCTGGCTCGCCGCTTTAAGGTAAGATGCTTGTTGTTGTCATACAAACACATTTGTGAACACCTTGAATCTGAATAGTGGACGAGACAACTGAAGGCAACATTCAATCTCCACATCTCTCTCTCTCTCTCTCTCTCTCTCTCTCTCTCTCTCTCTCTCTCTCCTCTCTCCTCTCTCTCTCTCTCTCTCTCTCCCTCTCCCTCTCCCTCTCCCTCTCTCCCTCTCCCTCTCCCTCTCCCTCTCCCTCCCTCCCTCCCTCGCTCTCTCTCCTAGCTGTTGGAGCAGGCTCTGGTGATAGAGGAGCAGTTGAGGAGGGCAGCATACCTGAATATGACCCAGGACCCCAGCCACCCGGCCATGGCCCTGAACACTCGCTTTGCTGAGGTGGAGTGTCTGGCTGAGTCCCACCAGCACCTGTCCAAGGAGTCTCTGGCCGGGAACAAGCCAGCCAACGCCGTGCTGCACAAAGGTCTGTCATCTCCCAGTGTGTACACAGCAGCAGGACTAAAACACTGTCTACAAACTCAAGATCTGGGTGAATAATAATTAAGCATTGCATCAACTGTAGATAAGATTGGATACGTTAGTGCGTTCTCGTCATTGACAGTGTGTGTGTGTATGTGTTTGTTCTGTATGTCTGTGTGTGTGGATGTTCCAGTACTGAACCAGCTGGAGGAGCTGTTAAGTGACATGAAGGCGGATGTGACGCGGCTTCCCAACATGTTGTCCCGGATCCCCCCAGTGTCTTCTCGTCTGCAGATGTCTGAGAGGAGCATCCTCAGCCGCCTCACCAGCCGCGGTAACGAACCTCCGCCACAACAGGTACTGTACAGGCATTGGCTCTGTTATGGTGATAGGTGGGTTAGGATTGGTACAATTAGATTAGGTTTAGTTTGGTTGGTTGGGGCAGGATTACGTCCAGGGTACTGTAGGTTTGTCTAGGTTTGGTTGGGGTGAGTTGTTTTAGTAAGTCGTTTTGATTGATTCCGTCATTGACAGGATGTGTAAAATGTTTACTCTACCTCCAGCCGTTCAGCCAGGGCTCATTTGCCTGTTCCCAGATGTACAGCACTGGTTTTGGGGGCAGCTTCCGGGGAACTGCAGGAGAGGCCATGGTCAACTACAGTCAGATGCCCCTGGGACCCTACGTCAGTGGTAAGAAGCCTGTCTCTGCACGACTGTTACTGTAAGATAAGATGTTTCACCTGAACAGCCGAGGACAGAATGCATGATAACTGAAAAAGAGGGAGCACTGTAAGATGAACTACTGCTATGCTTCTCTTTCTAATAATATATTAGGGAATAAATAGCTTAAAATATTTCATTTGGGTCATTTATTTTGCTGAGCACCCTTTGTTTGGTATCCCTTCATTCCCCCCTTTCTAGTGTCCAACGGCCCCCCACCCCCATCCAGCCACTTGGACAAGAAGTCCTGCGACCCCCTGAGGGACGTCACCACCCCTGACCTCAAGTCAGGCAAGCCCAGCGATGTTATCTGTATTGAAGATTAGATCAGCTACTCCAAAACTGATCTGGTGTCAGCCAAGCCCAGGGATGTCAACTACTATATCAATGATTACAGAATCTCTGCCCCCCCCCCCCCCCCCCCCCCTCCTCCTGCTGTCCTACATGACATGGCTAACCCACCAGAGAACTCCTAAAGAAGCTCTCCATCTATGGAGCAGAGGATAACCCTAAGAATATTACACTGATGTATCTGTCTATCGTATCAATTGCACTTCTTTCAAGGATTCTTCAACATACTTCATGCAGTAGCTATTTGCTTTTATGACTTAGGTTGGTGGGTCAAGCAGAGGAACTGTCTATTAGGATGTAAGAGTCAAACGACCTCATACGCCCCAACCTCTGCTACCTGACACGTGGAAGGGAAGGGTCGTGTTCCCCTGCTCAGACGTTGCATGCATCAACTAATGGTTGGGGGCCACGTCATCGACTGTGCCATCGGGCACCACATTGGTATAACATATGATGTGTTCAGCTGATACGTAAAATACCTATCCAGGGGTTTTAAGATCTGCCATTTGTCAGCAATGGCTGGGCAGAGGAACACGACCATGGTGATCTTATAGGATGACTGGAACTGCCCTGTCTGAAGGGGAAAGTCTTGGCTACAGGGAGAGCTGGAGAAAGTCAAAGTTCACATGATGATGAGCCGGTGGAGTTGCCAATGCTCTGGGGCTGCTGTAATGAGACTCATATGTGTCTATTGATTCCCTTTAGGCCTGGCTCTGCACTTTCATTCTGGATATTTTCCTCCTGCGTTCATCATTGGCCTATTCATTGTGCATCGGGACTGACCTCTGCTGGAGCTTTGTGCTTTAAATACATACAAATAGAAGGAAAATAGAACTACGAAGGCATAAGGCTCCCATCCTAGAATTAAAGAGATGATAAGTGGGTGCTCATACAGCAGCCAATTCTCTGGTACATTTTAGAACATGTGTTTGTTTTTATAGTTTCATGGCAGAGCCTTGATTTGGAACTTGTAAGAATAAGAGTGACTTTAAGGAAGTATAGCTGCACTATGCCTCAACCCATAAAGACTGCCATCTCCCGCCTCTGGAGAAAGGGATCCTAGTTACAAAGCTGCATTAGCTACTAATATACTAGGGGTTCTCCCTTGTAATGTACATAATTCAAGAGACTGCTGTTTATTTTGCCTTGCATAATCATTGTGAATTTAATGCATACATGCATAACAATGTAACAGGCTGGATTAGTGCAAAAAGTGACGATCATATAGAAGTTACAGGACATATCTAACTGTGGTACAGTTTGTAACCATTTGTACATTTCAGAAGAGACTCAAGACTATTTCTGCCAATGGTATAGTACATGTATTTCTTTAACATTTGAATGTGATTATTGGCTGTTAAGCCAAACCCCGGGGCCATGACCAGAGTGTGTGCTATTAACAGAATCTCCTCCTGTCCATCATATGGTTGTGATGTGGAGCTAATTGTGTACTGGACAGAGGGATTCTGTTGCCTGCTACACATACAGTTTTACTGTTATCTCTGATAGTTCCCCAAAGCCCCTCCTTCCATTTTGAGAAATACTAAAACAAAAAAGTGCTTATGACACTGCGTCCATCACCTTTTGGCCTAGGTTTCATGTTTTCCATGAAAAGTGCTTTATTGTGTGTTCTTCATGTTAAAGTAAAGTGTTATTTCAGTATTTACTGCTTTAGTGCCACTAAAAGAGGGCTGCTCACTCCATGTCCTGGATGGCTAATGTCCCAGATTGTATGCTTGATAATCTTAGACTTGGGTGGAATTGTTTCCATTAAGAACTGAGGGCAGTGGTTGAATCAGATGGCTAATTTAATCATCAATAGATTATAATCTTCATAAATATTAGCCAAAAGGACCAAGGTTGGACAGCCTTACAGTAAAAGTATCAAAACGTATTTTTATGTTTCTTTTTATATATGGGTTGCTTGGAAGGGAACTGTTTATGGCATTACGTGTTGTGAGGACTTAACTGTATCAGAGCCACAGCATGGATTCACTTGACAATACTGTTTATTCCATCTGTCTGATAATGTGATTGTCCAAAGTGAAACTACTGTTTTATATGTTTAATGAGACTTAATTTGTTCTGAATTTTCAAGAATGTGTGTATTCAATTTTCTCATTGCAATGTTTGCTCTTATTTTTCTCTCAAAGAGTAGAGGCATTACCTATTTGTATTGCATTTAATGACAGGGCTATAGCACTTACAGTATGTGGAGGTTTTGAGAAAGGAATTGTGAATGGACCGTCCTGAACTGAAGAGATTCCTGTATACAGGGTGTGATTGTAGCTCTGCTCTATAGGCTTTTTATATGAATCTCCTGAGGTGCTCTGTCCTGCCCCCTGTTGGCTGGAATGTGTAACTACACATTGTCTCAGTGGGTTGATCCCAAATGGACCCCTAAGCCCTACTGCCTATGCACCTGTGGAGGTCTGAGAGGATTTGAACGGTATAAGCACCATGGTGAAACTTCCACATAGCCTATCATAGGGCAAGGTGGCGCTATAACCATATTGCTTACACATGTAAAATCCTCTAAGATCTCCCAAGGGCATAGGGCGTAGGTCTTAGGGCTCCATTTGGGATTGGACCACTGTCTTCTCAGACAAAGCACTTCACCTGAAGTTGAGATAGGAATTTCAACAAATAGGGCACATATCAGTTCTTAAGCTATTATTTTGCACCCAATTGAGTGACTGTTTATCAGTTCTGTCCATGGAGTGTGCAGTCCCAGTGTTTCTCTTCAGCCTGTTACTCAATTTGTAAGTAATATGAGGGTCCCAGTGTGGACTAAAGTGTAGGTTTGGATGGTTTGGACAAGACCCACACCTTGTAATTTATTGGATTAGTGTCACTGGACAGAATCAAATAGCAGTGATATGTAAATACTAAGATTTCCAGTGTTTTGTCTCTCTCATACTCTTATCGATCATGTACCTAACTATACTGAAAAAAATATAAACGCAACATGCAACAATTTCAAAGATTTTACTGAGTTACAGTTCGTATAAGGAAATCAGTCAATTAAAATAAATACATTTGGATTTCACATAACTGGGCAGGGTTACAGCCATGGGTGGGCCTGGAGGGCATAGACCCACCCACTTGGCAGCCAGGCCCACCCACTGGGGAGCCAGGCCTAGCCAATCAGAATTAGTTTTTCCCCAAAAAAGGGTCCCCCCCCCAAGACAATCCCGCAGGTGAAAAAGCCGGTTACACGTGGTCTGCGGTTGTGAGGCCGGTTGGGCGTACTGCCAAATTCTCTAAAACAACGTAGGAGGCAGCTTATGGTAGAGAAATGAACATTCAATTATCTGGCAACAGCTCTGGTGGACATTCCTGCAGTCAGCATGCCAATTGCACGCTTCCTCAAAACTTGAGACATCTGTGGCATTGTGTTGTGTGACAAAACTGCACATTTTAAAGTGGCCTTTAATTGTCCCCAGCACAATGTGCACCTGTGTAATGAGCGTGCTGTTTAATCAGATTCTTGATATGCCACACCTGTCAGGTGGATGGATTATATTGGCAAAGGAGAAATGCTCCCTAATAGGGTATGTAAACAAATTTGTGCACAAAATTGGAGAGAAATAAGCTTTTTGTGCGTATGGAACATTTCTTGGATTTTTTATTTCAGCTCATGAAACATGGGACCAAAACTTTACATGTTGGATTTATATTTTTGTTCAGTGTTCATAGTATGCGTGAGAGAAAATGAATGTTGCAGGGTAGTTGCCATAGAGTTGAAATGTGCACACAAAATGTGTTCAATCAAATCCACGTCTGTTTCCTTACGGAGTGTTGAAGTGACTGAAATCAAATTGTTTAAATGAAATGCAATCAAACTGAAGTCAGTATGAATGTAATGTGTATGTAAGAAGGCTTCAGTCTAATACTATAAATATATTTACAATATATGTACATGCTTATAAACAAGGCTTCAAAAGCTACCAAAAGACCCTGGTAAAGGCACCTTTGTTGCAGAGAATGCACAGCATGTGAAATGTTTTGTATGAAGGTTCACTTTGGTAAAGAAAGAGATGGTTGCTCTGTGTAGCTAGCTTTGAGAGAGATATTGAATTCAAGCAGTGTTATAATGGTACAGATGTTTGTGCTAAATTGCAAATCAATGAAAAAAAGTTATTAGTAATTCTTTACTTTGTACTTTGTGTATTTGTTCAATGTGTTTTAATAAAACCTCTCGACAACAATAGACATACCTCATTGTTGCTTTGATAAAGCACATCTGAGAAAATAAGCAAATTCTCAGCTTGAGTATGTATGTGTGAACTGTGAAGCTTAATTTTTAAGTAGACTTTCTGTTGCTGTGAGTGGAACCCACAGGGCAAAAGGAAGGTTGGCCGCCCAAAAAAGGCATGGAACAGGACAAATGAGAAGGAGATGAAGAAGGCAGGAACCACCTGGAATTAATTCAAGAAAACGTTCCAGAAGAGAGTTAGCTGGAGATGCACCGCTGAGGAGCTGAAACGACTGTCAAGTAAGTCAAGTTGCTCTGAAACATCAATAAAGATCATGAATGAACTGGTGAAAAGCTGTTCTTTTTTTTCTTCTTTTTCAGAAATGTGTTTTTTTTGGGGGGGGGGGTGGGGGGGTTACAGGTACAATATTCATGTACATTTAAAATCTTTATACCACATGTACCATGGGCTGACACTCAAAAAAAAATGAAAGAAAAAATAATTATTTAGATACAGAGAAATTATCATAATAATAATACAAAAGTTCCTCCCCAATCCCCCCAGCCCAACATGTCCCCGTCCAACTCCCTGGCAGGAAAGTTCACTGCACAATCTGCTTCCTGCTGTTCACGGAGAGGCAATATCTACAGTTGAAGTCAGAAGTTTACATACACCTTAGCCAAATACATTTAAACTCAGTTTTTCACAATTCGTCAGTTAGGATCACCACTTTATTTTAAGAATGTGAAATGTCAGAATAATAGGAGAGAGAATGA